GTCAATTTCATGATATGAAATATTTTATGTTTTGCAATTATATTATGATTTGATCAGATATGCTTTTGCTGTTATGTATTGACCAAAAAAAAAAAAAATTGTCAACCCAAGAAACAAAACAAACACAACTCTGGCTCTAAATGTCAACATGAAAAGAGCGAAAACTGCAAAACAAAAAAGAAGAAAAGCTTCTTGCTATAAACTCTTCCACAGTGTAAAAAAGGATCATCAATTGCTGATGGTTTTATAGACATTAATACTGCAAAATATACAAAAGGACTTATCATAAGAGCTGAGAACAAATGTAATCATATACAAAATGAGAGGATAAGATGGAAGCAAACACCTCTTCCTCTTCTTCTTCGGCTATTGTTCTTCCTTATCAAAGTAACTCTGCGGCAAGGTAAAGTCTTCCTCGTGATTCAGAATGTCCATGTCTTCATCATCTGATTTCTGACAAATTCAGAGATAAGAGATTAATTAAACCATTAGCTCAACTCTAAAGCTGGCTATGAAGTGACAAAATAGAAGCCAACTTAGAGCCTACATCTATGGTGGACATAGCAATCAATCAATGTTTGTAGTGACAATACTACTCACCAGCATCTCGATGTTGTAGAAACGATCCAGTAGCTGCAGAACCTCATCCGCTGTGAACTGTCGATCAAAGCTGTAGTTGATAGAGAAGGCTCAAGGTTCAGAGTTATGAATATGGATCAGAACTCAGTATGAAAGCAACTCTGAACAAACCTTCTTCCGAGATACTCCATGAGGCCATAAAGAACAAAATGTCGGTGTATGCCTGCAAACCACATTTAGAACATAATCCCATAAGTAGAAAGCAAGAAAGCAGAGAAGTGATCAATGTCCGAGAACAAAGAGGCGATCTATTTGACTATCATCGATTGTATTGTATACAAGGGAAACGATTCCCTTTTGGTAAAAGGTTTATGCTTTCTGATCACCACGATAGAAAAAGAAACATTTCGAGATACCAAACGTGGATTCTTGCAATAAACAAGGTAAAGAAGTGAGATTTGCGTTGTGAGAAACTTGCCTCGGAGTTTAGCGGGAGGATAGATTTCAAGAGCTTCTAATAACCTGAGCTCCAATTCAACCTGTGACTGCTCCTGAGAAAGCAACCCAAGAAAGACAAACCATTGGAATCGAACAAGTACAA